TTAGTGTGTTATGGTAATCTGGGAATGTGATTGATGCAAAGAGATCAATAACAGCTATTTTAATGGTGAAAGATAGGAAAATGCATGAATTGTGCACATAAAACAAGAGGCGCCACTGCAACCAACTGGAAATAGAGCGTAGTTTCTCAGGTCACAATTCCCTGCAGGAATGTACAGGTGTGGTCAAGGGTGGCTGCCTGGGCATGTGGACTGTGGATCAGGTAGATCCCTGTGCAGAAGGGCCCTTCACTTGGTTTAATGGTTTCCTGTCACCACCTGGAATTTCTTTAAAAAAAATTTTTTTTAAGTTTTCTAATTCCAGTATAGTTAACATAGAGTGTTATATTAGTTTCGGGTGAACAAAATAGTGATTCAACAGTTCTGTACATCACCTGGTGCTCATCATGGTAAGTGTAGTCTTCAAACCCCCATTACCTATTTCACCCATCCCCCTACCCACCTCCCCTCTGGTAACCACCAGTTTGTTCTCTATAGTTAAGGGTCTGTTACTTTGTCTGTCTCTTTTCTTTTTTTCCTTTGTTTTATTTCTTAAATTCTACATATGAGTGAAATAATGTGGTATTTGTCTTTCTCTGACTGGCTTATTTTGCTTAGTATTGTACCCTTTAGCTCCATCCATGTTGTTGCAAATGGCAAGATTTCATTCGTTTTTATGGCTGAGTAATATTCCATTGTTTATATATACCATATCTTTTTTACCCATTCATCTATCAATAGACATTTGGGCTACCTCCATAACCTTATTGTAAATAATGCTGCAATAAATATAGAGGTGCATGTGTCCCTTTGAATTAATGTTCTTGAGTAAATCCCCAGTAGTGTGATTACTGAATCATAGGGTAGTTCTATTTTTACTATTTTTACTTTTTGAGGAACCTCCATACCATTTTCCACAGCAGCTGCACCAGTTTGCATTCCCACCAACAGTGAGCCAGGGTTCCTTTCTCCCCACATCCTCGCCAGCACTTGTTTCTTAGGTTTTTGATTTTAGCCATTCTGACAGGTGTGAGGTAATATCTCATTAAAGTTTTGATTTTCATTTGCCTGATGATGAGTGATGTTGAGCATCTTTTCGTGTGTCTGTTGGCCACCTGTATGTCTTCTTTGGAGAAATATCTGTTCATGTCTTCTGCCCATTTTTAAATTGGACTATTTGGGTTTTTTTGATGTTGAGTTGTATCAGTTCTTTATATATTTTGGATACTAACCTTTTATCAGATGTATCATTTGTGAATACCTTCTCCCATTCAGGAAGTTGCCTTTTTGTTTTGTTGACTGTTTCCTTTGCTGTGCAGAAGCTTTTTATTTTGATGTAGTCCCAATAGTGTATTTTTGCTTTTATTTCCCTTGCCTCAGGAGACAGATCTAGAAAAATGTTGCTATGGCTGACATCAGAGAAATAGCTGCCTATGCTTTCTTCTAGGATTTTTATGGTTTCAGGTCTCACTGATAGGTCTTTAGTCTATTTTGAGTTTATTTTTGTGTGTGGTGTAAGAAAGTGGTCCAGTTTCATTCTTTTGCATGTAGCTGTCCACTTTTCCCAGCACTATTTGTTGAAGAAACATTCTTTTTCCCATTGCATAACTCTTCCCTCTTTTGTCAAAGATGAATTGACCATATCCACCTTGAAATTCTTTTTTTTAAAGATTTTATTTTATTTATTTTTTATTTTTATTTTTAAAAAATATTTTATTTATTTATTTGTTAGAATGAGAGAGAAGCAGGCAGAGGGAGAAGCAGGCTCCCCACTGAGCAAGGAGCCTGATATGGGACCCAGGACCCTGGGATCATGACCTGAGCTGAAGGCAGATGCTTAAATGACTGAGCCACCCAGGCATCCCTTAGAGATTTTATTTTAATTCCAGTTACTTAACATATAGTGTAATATTAGATTCTCATGTACAATATGGTGATTCAGCACCTCCTTACTACATCCGGTGCTCATTACAAGTACACTTGGTAATCACCATCACCTATGTAACTCATCCCCCTCAACCAATTCCCCTCTGATAACCATCAGTGTGTTCTCTATAGTTAAATCTGTTTCTTGGTTTATCTTTCTGTTTCTTTCTCCCCCGCCCTCCATTTGCTTGTTTTTTTTTGTTTCTTAAATTCCACATATGAGTGAAATCATAGGATATTTGTCTTTCTCTGAGTGATTGATTTTGCTTAGAATAATACTCTCTAACATCCATCCATATGCATGGCAAGATTTCAGTCTTTTTTATGGGTGAGTAATATGCCATTGTATATGTATACCAAATCTTTTTTCCCCCCCTCAGATCTAGGATTAGGGTTTGGTTAGGGCCAGAATAAGGGTTAGGGTTAGGGCCAGTGTGATTGTATGTGCCTATTATCTTGCAGTTCAGAGACCACTCCAGAGGGATAAGTTTAGGGTTAAGATAGGGTTAGTGTTAGGGTTAAGGGTTAGGGTGTGTGTTTGGGTTAGGATAAGGTTTTTGCTTAGAATAATGCTTTCTACCTCCAACCACATTTTTGTAAAATGGCAAGATTTCATTCTTTTTTATGGCTGAGTAATATTCCTTTGTGTGTGTGTGTGTGTGTGTGTGTGTGTACGTACCAAATCTTTTTTTCCCCTCAGATCCTGAATTAGGGTTCTGTTTAGGGTTATAATAAGGGTTAGGGTTAGGGTTAGGGTTAGAGTTAGGGTTAGGGCCAGTGTGAGTGTATGTGCCTATTATCCTGCAGTTCAGAGACCTCTCCAGAGGTTAGGTTTAGGGTTAGAGACAGGGTTAGAGGTAGAGTTTAGGGGTTACTGGTAGGGGTAGGTTAGGTTTAGGGTCAGGGTTAAGATTAGGGTTAGGGTTTGTGCTTGGCATCCTGCAGTTCAGAGACCTCTCCAGAGAATAAACCCTCAGACTTCCATTAGGTTGAAAATAAACATGACAACCATCCACCAAGCTGAGGTAAAGAGGGGATTTAACCTTCTAAATACTCTACTTTTTAAGAGAAGTTTTTATTTAAATTCCAGTTAGTTAACATACAATGTAATATTTGTTTCAGGTGTAGAATTTAGTGATTCAACACTTACATACGACATCTGGTGCTCATCACAGCAAGTGCCCTCCTTAATCCTCATCACCTATTTCCCCCATCATGTCACCCACCTCCCCTCTGGTAACCATCAGTTTGTTCTCTCTAGTTAGGAGACTCCACCTGGAAATTCTTAATAATTTTTTAATAAGTGTTCCTACATTTTTATTTTTCACTGGGCCTGTAGCTCACAAATTTGGTAGCCTGTCCTGGCTGTGGATGATACCATCCATATGGCAAGATAGTAATCAACCGTGTTTCACCTGAAAGTTGCTAGGCCATAAATTTGGTTAATCCCATAGTGGGAATCCCAGCAGCTCTGCAAAGGTTCCAGGTGTAGACATTGGCACTGGCTAGTACCTTCAGAGAAGGACAGCTGCTAGGACTAAGTTAGGGAGATGGGTGTCTGCAGAACTGGTGATCTCACTCTTAAATATTTGCCAGTTGGCTTTCTGGGCTGATACTGTCTGCTTGGAGCAAGTGTTTCTCACTGGCCAGCATGCCAGTGTCATATGCCTGCAAACCCTTCCATTTGTCATTTTTGGAGTATGTCTTGTATTTTGGGTCTGGGTGCTTAGGTTCTTCCTTGAAGGCCGTCATGGACCAGGTTAGACACTGCTTAGGCTGCACATCTAGGAAATCTAGGGAAATGTAGGTATTAAGGGAAGACTCACAGCAGGAAAGGTGTTTCCGTAGAGTTGTTTAGCAGTTGCAAAGCCCCAGTGGAGGGGAGATAGTACAGTCTGGAGAGAAACCAATCTCAAAATCTGGGAGAGCTCAGAGTGCTTATTTGGTTGAAGGGACAAGGCAGGCACCTAAATTGGCATCAAGATTGGTGGACAGGTGAATAAAGAGATGGAACCGGGAAGGAGGGGTGGCCTAGTTTGGTGTGATGATTTAGGAAACTAGTATATGGAAGGGTTTTCCTTTTAGATGAAGCCTGGTGTAGCAATCCAGAGTGAAAGAAGCTCATTAAAGGTCCCACAAAAGGGTGGACAGTAGAGGGTGTGATGGTCATTTTGTTTGCCTTCAGATCTGTTATCCAGTCTTTACCACCGACTCTGTGGCCTGGAAGGCTGACCTCTCTAGAACCCATCACCTGGGCTCCCTTGCTCTCTGGCTTGCACAGTACTCAGTCACTAGGAGGCTCCAGCAGGAGATAGGAGGGCAGATGGGAGATAAGTCTGACCCCTTCCTGCTTGGCCGTATTTTCTGGCTACAGCCAAGCCATTCTCCTTCCACTACTCTGTGTCCACTTGCTTCCAGCTACCCCCTTCCCCCAATCATCACACTTTCAGGCCTTGACTGGTGCTGCTTTTTCCTTTGTCGATAGTCCTATTGTTGCTGCTAGTGTCACAGCTTCCCTTAACCCTTCTCTGGCCTCTAGAACAGCCTCTTCGTTATAAAGTTTCTTCAAGAACCCATTTTTGGGACTTCTTTTCTTGCCAGGACCCTGACCAATACAGAAATTTCTACTGCATCTGTGTCCACGCTTTTGCTGCTCTCTTCATTCAGCACTGCTCAGGATAACCGCAGACCATCTTGCTTTCCTGGCTTACGTGTCAGTGTTTTCCGAAGTCGAGGCAACAGCGGTGTGGTTCTGTGGCTGGAGCACAGCCCTGGAGGCCCAAGGCTGGCTTCTGGTTCCAGGCTCTGAACACGTGGTTGTGTGTCTTTGGGTCTTTTTCTCAAATTCTTTTTAGCTTTACTTCTGTCTTCGGCAAGAGGGGCATAATAATGCCACCTGAGTACAAGGCAGTGGTAAAGCTCAGATGAACTATTTGTAAAATGTATAAGTGAATTTTTAATTTGCAGTCATGATTTCAGGCCATGACAACATTCACTCTCCTGGTCTCAGGAGTACAGTGTGTCTAAAGAGTAAGAATTTGTTGCATTTGATATTGGGATGTCTTTTTATCGCGGGTATGAGTGCTGTTTTTGATAATTTGGATACTTTCAAATCTGGTGGGTCATACAATCAGATACAGCACTAAAGTATTTATGGAACTAGGCAACAATCGCAGTGCTAACAGTTTTTGTATCTTTCAGATTGTAATTATGCAAGAGTCAAATTTATGTGTGAGATGGAAGAGTAGAAAATGAAGGGCTCAAATTTGGTACATCTGTGTGGCTCTGTTTCACTCCCTGGGGTGGCGGTTCCCAAATGGGGTCCCAGAACCAGCAGCATCAGCATCACCTGGAACTTTTTAAAGATTTATTTCATTCAGAAAGAGAGAGAGGTAGCAAGAGCAGGGGGAAGAGCTGAAGGGGAAGGCAAGGGAGAATCTCAAGCAGACTCCCTGCTGATCGCAGAGACCCATGTGGGGCTCAATCTCATGACCCCCGAGATCATGACCTCAGCTGAAATCAATAGTCAGACGCTCAACCAACTGAGCCACCCAAGCGCCTCTCACCTGGAACTTTTTAGAAATGCAAATCCTCAGGGCCAGCATTCTGTATTTTTTTTAGAAGCCCTAGGTGCTTCTCTGATGCACACTAAAGTTTGAGAACCATTGTCCTAGGGGGAAAGGCTTTGCCAGATCTGAAGTACCTCCCACACGTGGCCAGCAAGTGAAGAAAAACCCACTACTTGAGAGCGACACTTAGGTCTAGACTCAGTGGACTAAGTGAAGTGGGTTGAGTAACTTTGTACTTCCCAAATGGTGTGTGAGGATTTTTGTTTACATGACCTATTTATTTTTCCACTAAGATATGACACTGACTTATAAGTAATTAAATAAGAGCTTCATGCTCATAAACATGGGAGACTCTCATTATAATAATTTGTTTCTATATTAGTTTGGCTACAATATGTGTCAAATGACAATATCTGAAAACATAATTACTCAAATAATTGGTTTAAAAACCCAATTAGTTGGTAAGGCAAGTTTTTTGTTCTCCAAGTCAGCTTTTAAGAATAGGTTTTTAAAAATAATAATTCTTTATATTTACCTCCAGTTGGACTCATTCATTTACTCCTATAAGATTCTGTGGGGCAGGGTCAGGTAAGTGGCTGCCTACTTTATATGCAGATCATCAGTGTAGGTTCAGAAATAGAATTCACCATATATTTCATGGTAATTTTGGAGTTAAAGTAGTTCAAATTCTAATCCTGCTTCTGATGTCCCTGTCACTGTGTATCTCGAAAAAAGTCATTGAGCTTCTTTTTTTTTTTATCTACAAAATGATGAGGATAAAGGCATATACAATGCCTAGCCCAGGGTGTGGTTCGTTTTACTGTAGCTAATATAACTAGTCATTTTATTGATCATCATTTTCTCTTTTATTTAACAGCTGGAAGCATTTGCTCATTTTTTTATGAAAGATGGTCGTAAGACATTGAAATTTTTGTACCAGGAAGGAGATATCCCTGGCCTTGGTAAGGATGTTTTATGAGGGCAATGTGCTGGCTATTAGTTAATGAATGTTAAAGTGCAGCATATCTTTTCTCTTATAAATAGATACATATTTACATAGAAGTATATTTATAAAGAAAATTTATCAAAAGCTTATGTGTGGAAAAGAGTGTTTTTTTTTTTTAAGATTTATTTGAGAGAGAGAGAGCATGTGCGAGCAGGGAGGGGCCAAGGGGGAGGGAGAGAGGATTTCAAGCAGACTCTGTGCTGAGCATGTAGTCCCATATGGGGCTCAGTCTCACAATCCTAAGATCATGACCTGAGCCGAAATCAAGAGCTGGATGCCCAACTGACTGAGCCACCCAGGTGCCCAGATAAAAAAGTGTCTTAAAAATAATACTTCTTCAGCCCAAATATATATGTCAGGCACTACTATAATGTAAGGAGAAAACATACTTACAGAAATCATTGGTGTCTCCTGGTGGATACATGTTTTCACTAGAATTTAATTCCATTTTCCCTGAAACAGGTGGAGCCATTTTGCACACAGGTTCTCAGGTGACTACTTATAGACAGGAAACTATGTGAGAGCTCAGCGGCTGTCCCAGCGGTCTTGGGTCAGCATCTTGTCTGTGGTAGCTGTCAGTTGGAATATATTGGGCTTCCTTACTATTTGCAGGATTCCTAAAATAATTAACACTTTACCAGGATGTGAAACTTTTGTCTTGATAACCAGGTGCATGGGCCATCCTTTTGGTTTTAGACTACTTATTTTTGAAGTCTTATGGATTGTCCCTCCTATTGGTTCTTTCTCATTTTTCTCCTCTGCTGCCTTTAGCTGAGGCTCATATCTCATGCCTGCCCTAGTATTCTAGATTGAAAGCCTGTAGCTCTGAAACCAGATTCCCTCTCTGAAATTCACACTGCTTATTCCTTTAAAAGTAAATCTTTTATTCAGTTGTGTGTGTGTATATATATATATATATACATATATATATACACATATATATTCATATGTTTATATATGTATATATATACACACCACATCTTTATCCATTCATCTATGGACGAAAACTTGGATTGCAGCTATAGAAAGGAATGAAATCTTGGGGCACCTGGGTGGCTCAGTTGGGCAAGCATTTGCCTTCAGCTCAGGCCATGATCCCAGGGTCCAGGAATCGAGTCCCACATCGGGCTCCCTGCTTGGCAGGGAGTCTGCTTCTCCCTTTCCCTCTTTTCCCCCCGATCTTGCTCTCTCTCTCTCAAATAAATAAATAAAATCTTAAAAAAAAAGAATGAAATCTTGCCATTTGCAACAACATGGGTTGGACCTAGAGGGTATAATGCTAAGTGAAATAAGTCAGTCAGAAAAAGACAAATACCATAGGATTTCACTTATATGTGGAATTTAAGAAACAAAACAAAGGAACCAAGAAAAAAAGAGACAGACAAATCACAAAACCAGCCCCTTAAATACAGAGAACAAACTGGTGGTTTCTAGAGAGGAGGTGGGTAGAGTACTGAGAAATATATAGAATTGTTGAATCATTACATTGTACACCTGAAACTAATTTAACACTGTATGTCATCCCTCAGTAAAAATTCCAAAAAGTAAACCTTTCATTGTGCTCCTAGTTATTGGATTGGGTCCAAAACCCTCATTTCTCCGCTAAGGCCCTTTATAACCTGGATACACAGTGTTCCTTTAGCCTGCGCTCCTATTCTCGCAGACATGAATTTGCTGCTCCCTTTAAGCTAGTCTCTTCCTTGTTTTCTGGACATTCCAGGGTCATATCTGTGCCCTTTGCTCTGCCCTCCTGACTCTCTCAGAATGCCTTTTTTCTCTATACCCAGCCAAATCCTACCCCTTTGGATCACCTCTGACATTCTCTTTTCTACAGAACCTGCCCAGGGTGTTCCAAACCCATCCATCACTCTTCTCCAAACTCCTCCTGTCTCATTTAAAGTTTGCATTGTGAAAAACAGCACTTGATTATGTTCTTCTATTTTCACTTAATTCTTTAATATAAGAAAATACCTACAATGAGAAGAGAAATAAAAACCACCCACATTCTCAGCCATTTGGAATAGGCTGTTAATTCCTTGATGAATATTCCTCTATAACTTCTTTGCCCCTCCCCTTTTATTTGGAGAAAGGGCGGAAGGGAGGGAAAGAGAGAAAGAAAGTCATGTATATGTATAGAGTGTGTGTGCATATATATACATGTATACATAGAGCTGGATCCCTTTTTGTAATATGTAGATATTATGCTACAAACTGGGATCCAACTCTACATGTTGTTTTTTTAAATTTTTTTTTTAAAGATTTTATTTATTTGACAGAGAGAGACACAATGAGAGAGGGAACACAAGCAGGGGGAGTGGAGAGGGAGAAGCAGGCTTCCTGCTCAGCAGGGAGCCCGACGCGGGCTCCATCCCAGGACCCTGGGATCCTGACCTGAGCGGAAGGCAGATGCTTAACGACTGAGCCACCCAGGCGCCCTCTACATGTTATTTTTATGGTGGCTTTTAAAATTTGATAATATTCTCTTTTTCATGCCACTAGATACATTTTTTACAATTAACTTTTAAACAGCTGCATTGTATTTCATTAGGCTACTATAACTATTATTTTTAAAAAACATCTCTTATTATTAGAAATTAGGTTATTTACAACTTTTTGCTCTTTTAAATAATGCTTCAGTGATTATCACTGAGGCTAATGTGGATTAGGAAGACTTTAGGAAGAATTTGCAGGAGGGGAATTGACAGAAGAAAAGATATATATATATATATACATATATATATA